AAAGCTGTAATAGAAAAAAAAACTTTAAAGATATAAAAATGGCTGCGTACCTTGTGGCTGGAATTGCTTCGCATATTCCACTGGTTCAAAGTTAAATAAAACATAGTATTTCCAATAAAGATTTTCTCAATATTACCAATTCTAAATTCAAAGAAATTAAACATCGTACGCAAAAAAATAAATAAATAATAATTGATATCGCCGCCGTCGGGCATGAGTAGTACGAGTTGTTAGTTCCCACTATGTATGCGAGGATGCTACTTCGAAAGACACGGTGGAAAATATTTGTCAGATTAATATTTAAAATTTTCATGGGGTAATTTTTGATTACATTTTAGCGGCCAATTTTAAATTGTTTATGTTTACATAACTATCTAATTTGTATAAACTTTAATTTCTTTAATATGTTCAATCTATCTATCTATATATATATATATATATATATATATATATATATATATATATATATCCCCCTCTCTCTCTCTCTCTCCATATATATATATATATATATATATATATATATATATATATAATTATTTATTTAAAAATGTGATTCAACTCGCGACATAAGAGGTCTCATGTTTCAAAACAAAAGAGCGAAAACTTCAATATAATTATTTGAATTAAATTGAATTAAAGTAGGCTCTGTTCCATCTTACTTTAATTTAATTTAATACAATTTAATTCAAAAAATTATATTGAAGTTTTCGGCTCTTGTTTTGAAACAGGAGACCTCTTATGTCGCGAGTTGAATCATATTTTAAATAAATAATTATATTTATGGTCTACTTTTGTATCGAGCACTATTTTTAAAAATAATAACAAAAATACTAAGGAACTTTGGATTATTTACCTAACCAGTTCCTTCCTATTTTCTATATATTTTCACACACACACACACACACACACACACACACACATATATATATATATATATATATATATATATATATATATATATATATATATATATATATGTTCGTCCATGCCTCGGAAATTTCTGCTACATATGATCCGATGTTCCTGCTATATATTTCGAGATTCTTGATGAAATCCAAAGATGAATCAACAACACTATTGGTCCCGCGTCAGTCATTTTTCCAACGCCGTAAACTTGCTCACTGTGTCTTTTTTTTATAAATACTTCCATATAGTAATTGTACAGATTAGTCTCTGCTATAGTTCCTAGACCTTATGAATTAAAGCGCAGTACTAGATTGACAGCAAGGTCTCAACAATTTCCACGTGGAATTCGTTAGAAAAAACTACATAGATAGAAAGAAAGAGAGATGTGCAGAGAGTGGTAAAGAGAGAGAGAGAGAGAGAGAGAGAGAGAGAGAGGTGGGGTAGAAAGTGATGCTATTTTTTGTACATAAAGACCAGAGAATAACACCGAGGAAAATATTGCAACATGGATGTGTAAATGCTGAAAGATTAGCTTACGATAAAATTAATAGATAGATAGATAGATAGATAGATAGATAGATAGATAGATATGAACAGACGGTGAATGATAGATAGATAGATAGATAGATAGATAGATAGATAGATAGATAGATAGATAGATAGATATGAACAGACGGTGAATGATAGATAGATAGATAGATAGATAGATAGATAGATAGATAGATATGAACAGACATTGAACGATAAATAGATAGATAAATAGATAGATAGTTAGATAGATATATATGAACAAAATGTGAATATATAGATAGATATGAACAGATTGTGAATGATAGATAGATAGATAGATAGATAGATAGATAGATAGATAGATATCTCCTGTTAAATTTTTCATATTTTTCTTAAAAAAATTTTATTTCAATAAATGTTGAAGATAATTACTTTGTCATTCTAGCTTTTGCAATAATTTTTTCTTTCTGTTAAACTTTGTCACCTTTCAGTTCCCTGTTCTTTCAAAAAAAAAATGTGAAATGTATTCAATGAACTCTCCAAGAAAATTTCTCATTAGATTATACTATTTTTTTAAACTTTTAATGTAGAAATGAACGAAAGAATTTGTAATCTGAAGGTGAAATGAGAGTGGATAATACGCCTCATGTGGATGAACTTCCTATCCAAGCTGAGTTCTCGTGTGTTACGTCGTATTTGCAACAAAGACGTGTTTTCTCATAAAACAAAATCAGTAGTCGATTTTTATTCACTGTTTTTTTTTTCTATTACAATATATCATTTCAACGATTTAACTCATCTTTGACTTTTCTTTATTTTCAGAGGTTACTGCTCCGAAGATTTGAAGTCTTTCAGAACATTCTTTGTTCTTGCGTTTCAAATCAATTTTTTTTAATATACAGGGGGTTTCAAAAAATTTGATATCATTTCGCAATCTAATAAATTTGTTAGATCTCCTTCAAATGACTTCAAATTTTAATAGCATCTTTGTTTAATGTTTGTTTTATGTTTTTATGTCTTTATGTTTTTGTGTTTTTCTTATTTGTATTTTTATGTTCTTTAATCTTTAATCTTTTTTCTTTACAGGTATAAAATGCTATTTACTAGAAGAGAAAAGGCGTTTTTGTGTTGGAGTTTGCTAGAACACAGTCAAACAAGACTGTGCAGCGTGCATTTATGAGAGAGTTTTCTAGAAAGTCACCAACAGGAATGCAGATTTGGATATGGCATAAAAAGTTCAAAGAGGAAGTCTGTCTGTGCAGAGAAAAAGGATCCGGACGACCACAAACTTCACATTTGTGAAATCGTTCACATAATCCACATGCTTTTGAATTTCTCATTCAGATTTAGAAGAATAAATCTTATGATCTTCAACATTAATACTTTTTAATTTCATTTGCCTTAATCATGTACTTTCTGTGATATTTACATCTCAAAGGATATCAAATTTTTTGAAACACCCTGTACTTTAGAAACGCTTCCCTCTATATGATAACGTCAGAGCAGTTTACATATACCGTCTAAAATAAGTTTCTTTACGAAATTTGTATTTTGATAAGTCTCTGTTATTATCATCAAAATTTGAGTATTTGAATATTTGAGTTTTCGGAATGTAATTATTGCATTATTTATAATATATACTATAAATATACATTTTCAGCGTTTCACTCTAAGCAAGACCGTAATATCACTAGTACGCAGTGGGATTACAAGAAGTGAAAGTGAATACAGAGAATACGGTCGATGAACAGAGTTCAAGACGACAGAAGATTTCGATTGACGTTGCATTTAAATTTTTGAAGATTGTAATCATCAGGGAAGCATGAAGGGAGTTCCGCAGGTTGGAAGTGTGAGTAAAGAAACTGTTGAAGTAGTAGATTGTATTTAGCTATTTCAACATAAAACGGCTAGGACCTAGCACGCTTAAATTCATGAATGAGAGGTATCAGGGAAGAAAGCTCGCCATAGAAGTTACCATAAAAAATATTTGTAGAAAAGAAAACCTCGTGATGAATAGCAGGAACACAAGAACATATATGGCAACAGTATTCAATGAATAGACGAACCGTAGATTTATAAATGTACAAAAGGGATTGTGACCCGAAACATTTTCTAGCACGACGCAGTGACACAACTTTAATAATTATAATATAATTTATTGCACCGCTATAAATATTTAACCGAGAAAGACAAAACTAGTTGTTGAAGCTTGGATAAGCATGGAATAATAATAATACAACACAAAATGTACGTAAACAAAATGTATTGAAACAAGGAAAAGGTACAAAATATTTACAGTTAGTTTTGGTATATTCTTGGGAAGACTGTTCCTGTAGAATGGGTTGACTTAATCGCAGTCGGGCAGAGTCTCTGGATTGGATCTCTTGTTCCTCCCCTCGTCTTCCCGGTACCAATCCATATTTATATGGTTGGTACTCCACTATGTAAATTAGGTGGATCGTACCACAACACTAGTTGAATGGTACAAAACAACGTTTAAAATTAACTTATTTGTACTTTCTCCAAAAGGGTTTCATTATAGTTCCTTTCAGATTTTAACTGAGGAAAATAGACAAATTGAAATTTTTGTACTATTACTCACCATAAAAATGCTCAAGAGCCACACAAACTATAGAATAACTAAATATGTTTGTTGTAAGAAGAGGGAGTAAAAAGCGCATGTTATGAGAATATGTAGGATAGATGACTGCTGACGATACTCATATTGGATTATGCCAAAATTTATTGCCAAATTAGAAAACTAAAAACAGTGAAGATCATTGCACGCAAATTTCCAATGATCTGATAGTAATCGAATTAAATGTGGAAAATAGAAGAGCCCACTGTAGGCTCAAACCATGAGACATGATGATTTTTAGCATCATGCTATCACGATAATCGAGGCTGTTCAAACGATTTCGTCCTACAAAAGTTTTGGGTCACTCATTGGCAGTTTTTTCAGGCTCTTTCCAGTGATATTGTATTACTTGCTTGACAAATTGGGTATGGTAAAATTCGAACCCGTGTTTCGTGATCGGAACCCTAGTATTCTAACCAATCGGTTGTCAGCAAATACACGGCCATATATATATATATATATATATATATATATATATATATAGAGAGAGAGAGAGAGAGAGAGAGAGGAAGAAAATATAGTTTTAAGGTGTGCTATATTTATGGGATAAAGTGATCCATATCAGAGATAGAGCGTATGTAAATATAAATGTTAACATTGAAGTCAACACCCAGAGGCAACAGGCTGTTTCCTGCAATGCGCAATCGTCAGACCGCACGATTGCGTCCAGCATGAAACAGCCTGTCACCTCTGAGTTTTGACATCAATATTCACTTTTATATATATATATATATATATATATATATATATATATATATATATATATATATACACACACACACACAGACACAGACATACATACATATATTTATATGTGTGTATGCATATTTGTATATATATATATGTATGTATGTGTATTTAGTATGTATGGCTGTGTGTGTATGTTTGTTGGGTGTGTATTTGTGTAGTATTATATATCTACATGCTCATTGAAATGCACACGGGCTTACGGCCATAACACGTTTAAACAACGGATCACGCACGATCACCGAAGATAAGCCCCGTCGAGTCTGGTCAATACCTAGATGGCTGACCGCTTGGGTATACCAGGTGCTGTAAGCATGGAGGTGCAGCTGGTGTAATGGATAACGGCTCGGAATTTGTAATCGGGGAGCCGAGATCCAATTGCAGTCTTGTTCGTATTAATCACTTCTCTATAGGTTTATTAGTTTGACATGTATCAGTAAATCTTCAAATATATCTTACAATCTAAAAGAAATATTTTCCAGCTTTAAATGAGCTTCGAAAGTTTGGTAAGCCGTAAAAACATATCAATCAATCAAACAATCTCACATACACATATTTATATATTAAATGTATATGTAAATTAAATGTATATGTAAATGTTAAATGCATTGGTAATGTCGTGAATATGGCAATAAAGATAAGGACAACAGTGAACAATGTAAATAGTGTTAATAAAACTTTTCTCGTTTTCAAATTTGTTTTTATTTTTTCTGTCAATTTGCATTTTTTTATTTCTTTTTTTATTTCCATACATTGGTATATTCCCCCAAAACATTCGTTTCTATAAACTTTTTTTTTTAATTCAGTACGTTAGTTTTTATAAAGTGGTTTGATATTTCATTTTGTTTTCGTATTTTTCAAAAAAAATTCTAACTGTTTTTGTTTCCTTGTTTTATTTCAATTTCTTGCTTATGTGTTTGGTTATTGTAGTTGTTTGTTTTTATTTTCCTTTTCTTTGTACGTGCATTTTTGTCAATCATGTTTTTTTTTATACTTCTAACTTTATGTATATTTAGCTTCTATAGCTTTCTTCCATTATATTAAATAGTTTTCTTCTTTTTTTTTTGGTCTAACGTGCCCTTTCTTCATTTGTTTGAATAACGAGCCACTGTACGAGATCTTTATGTTCAACTGTTTTTGGTACAGTATTTTTCGTGTTCCCCTATAAAAACCAAAAAATATCTGTGATCATATTTTCATCGAACGTAATTTAAAAGTCTGACTTCATGGCTTGACCAACTGTCCAGTCGTCCTTCTGTAGCTTTCTTATGCCTTTTCTATAAATATATTCATCGTGACTGTTCGGATGAACTCTTCGCTATGGTACCTAAACTTTATGAATTTCAGTCCTATATTAGATTGGCCACAAGGTCTTATTAATTCACAATGGATTTGGCTAGCTCAATTCGAACAGTTTCTTTTCTCGCGCCTTTCACTTGGGGAACACACATCTGGCTCATTACTTCCCGGCTAAATTTGATCTTCAAATATGTAAAGGCAATGTCAATCCTTATCTATTCTATTTCCGAACATTCTTCTATTGTTTTCCTTCCTTAAAAAGGCCTTTCTTTTTCTTGATCTTACACATTCAGTAACCGTTCCTGCTTTAGTGGCATTATTGCATTGCAGGAGGTGATATGTTTTTAAAAATATGTATGTATGTACATGATTGCGAATATATATATATATATATATATATATATATATATATATATATATATATATATATAATGGTGTTGAGCGGTCTCTGACTGCGCACGCCTTCTGTCGAAGTCTCTGCGTTAGCAGAGAGGAACCCGGACGAGGCTTTGCCGAAGAGCAAGGTTTCGTCCGGGGAGGTAGATAGGGCCTGAACCCGTCTAGGCGGGTTCAAAGGCTATATTTTTGGCCGGGGCCTACGGGCTCGGGGGATACCTACATTAAAACCGGCCTTGTGCCATATTCGGTCCTCGTGGGTGGAACGATAATAATATATATATATATATATATATATATATATATATATATATATATATATGTGTGTGTGTGTGTGTGTGTGTGTGTATTGTCCATTTCATAATGTGTGACGTCATTTGTTTACATTTGATACGCAATGAGCAGATATGAATGTACGTGGAAGATTGAATTTTAAATACAGTAAATTCGACCTTGCTAACTGAACGCTCCTCTGTGGCCAAATCGGTAAAGGTACGTCAAGCTAAATAACGGTTCCGTATAGGATACAGGTTCGTATCCTGTCGGAGGACGAATACTTTCCGGTAAATGTTGTTTAATACTGTTCAAATATTTGTATCTATAAATATATATATATATATATATATATAAAATTATGGTTTCGTCGCTACACAGGAACTACCATGTTTCAAAAAAAGAAACTAAAAACTTCACATTCAATTATATAATGTAATCAAAAGCATTAGTTCTGTTTCATCTTCAAGCGAATTTTGCAATAACTTATTTTGAAATTTGCTGAGTTTTATGATAATTCCTGTGTAGCAATGAAACCATATTTTTAAATCAGTAAATTTATAATATTCATGCTCTGTAAATTTACTTTGAGCACTGTTTTGTAAAAATAAAAATATCAATAAGAACACCGGATTATATATCTTAATGTTTTTTTTTCTTTTTTGCTATAATATATATATATATATATATATATATATATATATATATATATATGAACGCACATAATATAAATACACATAAATTTACATATAAATATAAATCACTGAGACATTATACGTGCGATATTTATTATATATATATATATATATATATATATATATATATATATATATATTATTTTATAAAAAAATTTATAACATAAGTATGTTATAAAATCATACAAAAATATATATACTGTGTCTTATATATATATATGAAAAAAAAAAAAAAAAATATATATATATATATATATGGACAGTATGTGTGTTTAACGACTTATCTCCTCAAAACATTCTCTCTCCTACTAAGAATTCAACTGCATTAAAGAAACACTCCTAAAAAATGGATTTCTTATATCTCTCGTCAAAATGAAACTAACTAAAACAAGCTTCATATTAATAACAATAAAAACAATAATACATTGAACCTCTTCTTATTGTAAACAAATGCATCCCAATTATATACGGAAGAATGGAGCTATTATACCGATCTGAAACAGAGACACACACGCAACCAAACACACACACACACACGCGCGCGCGGAGGGTAACTACAGACAATACAGAATCTTTGAAGCGTTTTATATACAACGATCTTTAGATATTATGTTTCACTTTGTTTTTCTCTCTTTTTTTTCTTATTTTTCTCTATGTATATCATTTATCAAAATGTCTTTATTTTCTGTTAATCAATAAGTCCATTGAACTAAGTAACACAATTTACTGTCCACAGATAAATTGTTTTATTGTTTTTTTATTCTAAGCAACATTTATATCTAGACCTATTTTTTCCTGTTCTTTTGGCACAAGGAGCTCATTAGCTGTCGATAAATTATTACTATTCACATAAGAAATTTTGATAAGGGTTCATGAGGTTTCCATCATATGTATTACCTCATTTTATTATTATCATTATTATTTATATTATTATTATTATTATTAGTAGTAGTAGTAGTAGTAGTCGTAGTAGTAGTAGTAGTAGTAAAGCACTTAGAGTAAGCAGATTTTTCTTTACAATAGTTTCCACTCAGTACAAGGCCCGGGAGCCACTCGCAGTAGAGTGTTACAGTGTAAGAAGCATTGTTTATGCGTATATGTGGGAAAGATAACTGTTAAATTGAAGCTTGGGACTTGGTTCCACAAATCATCAGTGTCTGGGAAGAAGATGCACAAATGGTACTTACATCTCACCAAGGGGATATGAAGAGAATGAAGGTGGTTCGCTAAATTCTATGTGGCATGGTGGCTATTAGCCGTGAAGGAACTCAAGGAACTATGGAATGTAGTTCAACTGAACATTTTCCTGGAAATAACTGAAAGAGAAAAAAAATATTATTCTTTTTATTATTATTTCTTTGGATTTCTATTGTATAAACATTTCCTTCCGAGTCCCAACAAGAGACATAAGATGAGATATTGTTTCATGATGTTTTCCAATAATCATTATTTTGTAATAAAAAAAACCCACAAAACCTAAGATCACACACTACATTGATTCAGCTCTTGATAATGTGTGAGCAGCACATATGAGGACATTTTTTTTGCATTTCTTTAAAGCATGAGATACGAGGTATCACATCTATCGGAACCTTTTCCAATCAATCCGAGGAGTCAAACTACAACTATAACTATTGATTCCCTTATGTGCCAAATATCTGAAATTTCTACTTCAAATGTGTTATGGTCCGGTTCCTTGTACCACGGTGATAGTCCAAGGTAGAACCAATAAAGAAGAACTGGAAAGCGGATATGGAATAACACAGATATATTACAAACAGGAATATATACAGAGAAGTAGAAAGTGTTAATACGAACAATCAGGTTTAGTAGTAATTGTCTGAACGCGACTCTGTTTCGGACTGCCTTTGACTCGACTGACTGACTCGCTCGCTCTGACTGACTGACAGACTCCTGACGGACTTCACACCAGACTTCAGACTGAACAGTATTTAGTCACCGCTCCACCCCACGAGGGTATCATGTGACAAAAGGCCGGTTTAACGTGGGATCTCCGAACCCGTGAGCTCGGCCAAAAATATGCCCATTAAACCCGTATAAACGGGTCCAGGGTTGGTTTACCTCCCCGAAAGAGACTCCACCCTTCGGAGTAGCCTCGTTCGGGTTCCTCCCCGCCCGAAGGCAGAGAGTTCAACTGGCCAGCCGGTCGTCCGACTTCGGACTGAACTCTCTGCGTCCTCTTGAGGCGCAGTGTTTATTACGTATGGAATAGTCCATTATGTTATTATGGGTAAGGTCCCATAACAAAATATTTATGATTTCTTTGTAGATATTCCAAGATACATTACAAACTACATGGACTGCCGTGTTAATAAGAAAGCACATTCTGTTTTTGAGGTCTTTGATCCCGATATCTATGCGATTAGATTTGATTGGTTACAGGTTCTAACTCTGTAACCGGGTCTAGATGATGTTCATACCAATCTATTTACAAAGATGGAAGGTTTTTGTTCCGTTTGATAAAAAAATAGGAGATAGAAATGCTGTCTCTTAATTTCTTTCCCGATAAATTGGTAGCCATGATGCCATCGTAGAGATTCACGTATCCAAATGTTTTCAAATGATTCCGAAAGCTCACATGAGAAGTGTGCATTATCACAGCTATGTCATGGCTGTGTCATATCACCGG